TAAAGTTTCATTATTTTGCAGGAGTACATGCAAAATAAATTTAAGAAGACAGCAGAGCGGGTCAGCCAGTTGGAAAACCAAAGCGCCACCATCTGCCAGATATACAGAGAGCAAGATCTAACGCGGGGTAACTACCTGCTTCAGCTGCTTGTGCACCAGAACTAAGAAATGTCAGAGATTGTGCTGATGTTTTCTCTTGCCTTTTGCAGAACTTGGAATGGAGCACTTCATGAAAAAGGTGGAAGCTGCTCACTGTGGAGCCTGTGACATTTTTATTCCCATGCAGCCCCACCTGATTCAAAAACACATCAAATCTCCTGATCATAACTATAACCGCAAGGTATATAATAAGCTGTTTTGTGTTGCACAGGTTGTTGTGAAGGCCTTCTTAGTGTAATAGTAGCATTAATATTAAAAATGGGTTCCTCTTATTTTTAAGTCCTTTGTTTGCCTTGTTTGCTGCACAATAGAGCCATTATAAGCCACAACCATAAAGTCTTTTTTTTTTTTACTGGAAACATACATGTATAAGCTACACCTCCGCTGACATCTACTGGTATGCCCTCCACCAAACCCGTAGGGAGAGCTCTACATATCAACCCTAGAGTAGGGGTTAAGAAGAATGCTAGCTGCTCTTAGCTTGGCATTTGTCAGCTCTTTATTTAATCTCTGCAGCAGGTGAATTCAGTCTCTTCATCGGTTCCACAGCTGTGTCAAATGAATGTCAAACTCTAGCAAGAATCTTTGAAGTGTGGCCAAGAGTTTGCAATTTTACCTCCCGCACAAGCTCCACCTTTTATACTTAACATTTTACTGAGACAATTATTCTATTAAAGCTTTCATTAATCTCTCTTTAGTCATTGTTTCACTCTGTCTAAAACCAAGAACTGTTTATTTTCCAGGGTATGATGGAGCAGTCAAAGCGCAGCAGTTTGTCAGTAGCCCGTAGCATTCTTAATCACAAACTTATTGGCAAGAAGCTGGAGAGCTACCTAAAGGTATGTGCCTTTTTTCTTTTTTTTCGTATCTTGTTGGTACAGATGCTTCTAAATATATTACATTATTACACAAAGGTTTTTTTTTTATTTCAATTGATTTGAATCACAAAGTGAAGTCTTTATTTTAAAAAAAAAGACTTGTATACAGTAAATAAAATAATTATTGAACACTTCACCATTTTTCATAGCAAACATATTTCTAATGGTGCTATTGATTATAATTACACCAGGTTTTTGTAACAACCCAAGTAATCTATACAAAGATCGAAACTAACACAAATGAGCTCAGAAATGTAGATAATGTATAATTTTGTAGAGGGAAATGGTATTGAACATGTTAACTATTATTATTTTGCCCCAAGTCTTTGTCACTAATGACAGTTTTAAGGCGGATTATTCACTGGCTGGAATGTCCACTCCTTTTTCATCTTTAAACTGGGAGAGTATGGTGGGAAAACGAGTAGGACCATTAGAAACTGGCAGATTGACGATAACTTAAAGATGTATTGATATTATGATGACAAATTTGATTAAGTATTTATGTTGGGTTAAATTAAAATATTTTTTTTTTTTTTTTTTTTGAGCGAGTCTTGTTTCCTTGTTAAACCCCTTATCAGTTGGTGGCGGTAATGCACTTTAACTAGTTTGCCAACTGCCATAAAAGACTACAAGAAGAAGAGAACCCTTTGCTTTACCAATTATGAGTCCTAACTTGTGTGACAATGTGGTAAAAACCCACCTTAATGCCCATCTGTTTGGGCCGATCCTACTGATTTAATTAGTACTAATGAGAGCAGAATGCTTTTCTGATCACTGATAGGTTTCAGCCATTCCACCTCTTTTCTGTCTGTTCAATAAGTTTTTCCTTTCATTTCACACATACATAACTTGATTTCTAGGTTTATTTGTACTTGTTTCTTTCTACACTAGAAAAACAATCTAGAAATAAGTAAAGGTTTCTTAAATTAAATAGTGTATCTACTCTTAATTTGAGTAGGTAAATGAGATGATTAGCCAATGTAATGAGTATTTTTACTCTTAAAATAAGATAATTAGATAAAATGCACTGGAAATAAGAAAATGCGATTGTGTTTTCTTATGTTAAATGTAAATTGTCTTGTTCCATAGGCAAAATGTCTATTTTACCTTCTGAATTCAAGAACGAATGCACTTATTTCGACAAAAATTGACTTATCTAGATTTTGATTTTTTCTCCAGCGTATGTATCAGTTACTGTCATGTCAGTGGCCCCTTTAGAAATGCATATACTATGAAAAATTGAATACTTGTTTTATTATTTATTATTAACCTTAATCATAATTTAGATAAGGGTACTGCACAATATTACATTGACCTAATAAAACAAGGACATGTATGGTACAAGCATATAGTGTAATATGCCCATATCCTCCTGTAGTCTCAGGACAGGTTGAAGTTAAAATGATTTCTATATCTATATGGGAAGCCTGTATTTCTGTACTATCTGTATTTTTTCAGTGGGATTAGGTAATGAGACCAAAACTCAGAAGTAAAATATTACATGAGAAAATTAAAGAATCTTTAAAACAGAAAAATCCCTATATAGTGATATTTCAGGACATAGGCATTGTATCCAAAAATCATCAGAGTCACCTGTTGACTTGATGTGTCCAGCATGCCGTCATTTATGTCCTCCATAAACATTATAGCCTTTATTTCCTTCTCTGTTTTATTTCTGTTGTAGTTTCTGGCAAACTGAGATTTTGGCCTTTTGTTCATTTTAAGTCATGGCCACAGAAATTAATGGGGCTTAACTCATGAAAAGCAGAATTTTTTAACTAGGTGTTAATCTGTTACTCAATATTCCAGGTAATCTTGGCTCTACTGAATTCAAATATTCTTTCTTTGACAGGGTGAAAACCCATTCACTGGGAACCAAGATGAACATGACCCCGAGGACTCTGCAGCAATGGATGTATCAGAGCTGGAGATGATGGGGGAGACAACAGAAAACCAGCAAGAAAATCCACAAGCCAAAGATGAGTCCATGGCTGAAGGAGAAAATGTTGGAGAGGCTGCTGAGACAGAAAATGTTGAAGGAGAGGCTGCTCAGGAGGAGAATGTTGAAGGAGAAAATGCAGAAGCTGCTCAAGAGGAAGAACCATCAGCTGTTGCATTTGCGGAGGAAGGAGGAGAGGAAAATATGGAGCAGCAAGAGATTCAGGAAGGAGGAGGGCAGGAAAACCATGGGGAGGAAGGTTTCATTATTGGGGAGGAGGAGGAGGGATATATAGTGCATGATGAAGGAGAAGAGGGATTCCATGATGAGCAAGAAGCAGCAGAGGAATGTCAAGAATGAGTGCAACATCCCTTCTCTGAGCTCTTAATGTGAATATGTTTCTGGACCAGTTGGTGATCACTTCCACTGTTGAATCAATCCAGTTCCTTTGGCTGTAAATACCTCTGATGTTTGTGGGGTTGGTCTATCCATTAGGAAGACGTTTTACACTTCGGGTACTACTATACATTTTTGTTAAGATCAAATGCATGACTGACTACCAGTATGTTTGAGTGGCATTTATGATCAGGCAAATCTTGGGACAAACAGCTGGTCTTAATTGTAATGATAAATGCTTGTTTCGTTTTCATTCTCAACGATACAGGAATTTGAATATCTTTATTTAAACCTTCAAGGCAAATGATGATTCAAAAAAAAAATTTCAAACTTTAACCCTTTTTGTGAAATGTTGTATATTTTCTTTTAGAAATAATCAGTATTGTAATGTCAAATGCTTGTTTTTTTATTTTCTTTAGTTTACACAGTGACCCAGAACTTAACTGTTTGACAGCAGTTTACAAAGAAGTGAAATTTTACAGCAATGTGAGCTTTTTAATGATGCAGTAAAAGTGTCTGTTAATATTTAGTATGTTTGGGGGGGGGCACTTTTTGTTTAACTGAAGAAATAAAGTTGTTCAAAACGAAGCCTTTTGTTGCTTTTTTCTGTTAAGTTCCGGTTGTGTAGTTGGAAGGGTTCTGACTTTAAAGTTTGTAGTTCAAGAGAAGTCAATGAAAAATGTTGATCTCAATAGTGATTAGCTTTTTTTTGTTTGTTTCTAAAATGCTGTAAGAGCTACCCTCTCCCATCACTAACAAAAAACTCAGTATATAATTTAGGTGTTATGTAATTGCTCAGCTCATGGTGGGATGGAAATGAATTATGGTTTCCAGAAATTCACCAAACAATTAGTATTGTCTATTTGTCTATTAAGTCATCTTGATCCAATAAGATGATAAAGATCTTGTGATGTTTGAGCATCGATGAGAAAATGTGAAGAGCAAAGAACACAGACTGTAAGGAATAGATTGTGATGCATTTTTAACATGTAATCCAAAGCTATGAACATTTCAAAGCACTGTAGAATCAATTTACAAATGTATTAGAATGGCCTTGTCCAAGGCCCCCCAGCCTAACTTCAACTGGGAATATTTTGCAGGCACTTGTCCGTTGATCTACACTCAAATCTGACAGCTTGCGCTACAGTCATTTTCAGTAGAGATTGTAAAAAAGAGGCATATGTCTAGCATTTATTTGAAGTAAAAGTAAATACCCACTTTACAGCTATACACTAATTTGGTTTGGTCTGTCATGTGCGATCAGCAACCCTCACTGGAAAGATTTAATGTTAATATCTACAATATTTCAGACTTGTCTGTACTACAAACACTAGTTTGTGTTATTTTGTTATAAATAAAAATAAGAAAATCTTATTTAAACAATTTAATATCTTAAAAAAATTTAGCAGCAGTAGTAATAATAACGGATATTTGCTTTTTATTAAGAGTTTTTTTGTGCAGCTGGTAATTTATTCCTGAAGCAGTTTCCTTTTTGTGTTAGTCCAAACAACACCAGCCTGTTTTGTGGAGGACACGATTACTAGGTGTTGCGTGATCTCACCCGTGGGAGGAGCGGGCCTGTAGGTGACATTTTTCCTCTGACATACATTCGCCCCGCCCCCTTTACGTCTGACGTACACGACGTTGAACGGGACTGTTCTGGATTTGGGGCGAGGAAGGTCTACGAGCGCTGACAAGCCGCTGAACAAGGTAAAAATAGACCTTAATGGTTCCGAGTGGAAGACTTAAGGATATCTAACGATAGCGTACAACTCCGGAGACCTGCTTAGGTGTTAATAATGCTCTTCGTTGCTGTTTTTTCCGCCCTGTCAGTGAGCTCTTCAGCAAGCGGAGCATGAGCTGTCCTCGCAGGCCTTGCAATGGTTCGGCTACATGAGCTATACCTTATTCTGCTCCTTTTATGTGTTCGGTTGAGTGTTCTCATGCACGTCCTAGTTTGTGTCTTCCTCGATTAGATACTTTCGTTGATGTGACCTACGTGACAGTTGTCACTCGGGGCTGTCAGTGTACATGTTAGCGGCAGGGTCGCTGGAACGCTAGTGGTTAGCTGCTAGCCTGTTTGTTTGTAGCACCACAGGCCGTATTCGTGACATAAGTTACGTTCTAAAGATTGCGTAGATGAGGCACTGTGGCGCAGAAACGCATGTGAACTGTGGCGTACGTCGTTACGGGAATACTACCAACGTTGTCGGAATCGTAGGCTGCGTTCGAATTCATGGGCCGCGTCTTCCAAGGACGCGGTCTACCTGGACTGGATCCTTCGAAGTCCGTGAAAATAAGGAGACCGAAAGAGTTTTGGCTGTTTATTCCAAAAGCTCCAGCCTTCTGCGGCTTTCTTTGCCGTAAACTCTGTCGCTTGGCAACCGTGACAGCTGACTCACAAAGCAGGGAAATAATGAATAGCAAACTTTTCAAAACTGTTTCTTTTTCTTTTTTCATTATTGTAAAATTAATAGACTGCACTCATGAGAATCCAGAGTGGAATAAAGAAGCCAACCAACCCTGGGCGTGAACAAATAAAATCCAACGTAATTATATAAACTTTAGTCAGTTAAATAACACGCTGCTGTCATATAGCACATCTCTGATATTGCTGCTATTTTCAAATATCCATTACTGTAAAAATGTCCATTATTTCCAAGTGCACAGTTTTATATTGTTAAAACTTTACTGTACAGTACTTTATTGTTTATCTTTTAACTCCTCACTCTTATGTTATGTTTTTTGTAAGGTCCACTTTTGTGTAAACATCTTTTTCTATAATCTTTTTGCTGCTGTAAACACCAGAATTTCCCCATTGTGGAACAATAAAGGGATTTTCTATTCTGTTCTATAAAAGGAGTTGCAAGTAATTCTAAACAATGTATGTATGTATAAACAAATCTGTACAATCTCCTATATTCAGCAACAAAAAATACTTAGTTAAACAAATTTTGCAAAATAGCAATTACAATATAAAAATATTAGATTTATTGTCCCCACACTGCAGATATATTAGAATCTATCCTTAAATTACAGCCAAACCCATTTACACAGTAACAGATAAAAACCTTTAGATAAACCAAACATTACTCACCACATATGACTCAATAACCATTAGAACAACTATTTTGATTAATTTTAGACGGAACTATTTACATACTTGGATTATATTAAACTGCACTTTCAATATTCACCAGTTTATTGCACCAACAAACCTTTTTCCTCTGATCACAGAGCAGTTCAAATCGGACGCATTTGTAGGCTGCATAATGAGGACTCTTGGAATCCGACCAAACCCCGGTGCCGCGCTATGATGTAATATGCCTTCAAATCTGGCTTTCGGAGGACGTAGCCCATAAATCGAACGCTCCGTATACTGAAACGCTGTTTACATGCTCAGCTGTCACTTTGTCACAGTGAACATGGTGATCCACTGACATGGAAGGATTTTGGTTTTTGCTAAACACAAATAACTTAGGTAATTTAGGTTGAAAAATATATTGCTCTGAATGCTTTCAAAACAAAACAAAAAAAAAAAGCAAAGAACACAAATATATATTTTAATACAAGATATGTCTGTGACTTTTATTATTAGAACACAGTTGAGGATATTGATTTTGTGCTGTCAAATTCTCAATAAAAACTCTTTCAACTTCTCTAAGCTAAAGAGATGTTTTTGTTTTTTTTCCAAACGTGGACAATGAGCAAAAGTATAACACACACCTGCCTATTTTGTAGCAGTATTTCAGTAAACAAGCTTCCGGTTCTTTTTTTGCTGCTTTCGCTCTATATAATTACATTGGAAGTTGTGAAAATATTTTTTTATCTGAGTCATTCCTAACTTTCCTTAATATCCACATGTTGTATATATTTATTGCTAATATGTTAAAGCTTCTGCTCTAAACATTTTCTCCTTAGTTTTTGGAAAAACAAAAGCTTAATACCGATAACTTGGTAGTAATCCTTCGAAAAAACATATGACGACTATGAAGAAGGATCTTAATGTCTTAACTCCATTTATACTATTTTTATCGTTTATACTTATTCTTTTTGTTGGAAAAACCTTTTCAAAACTACAGCTTTTAATCTGCAAATATTATAAATATTGAAATCCAATGACATAATCCAAAATTGGCAGATTGTTGCTCAGCTGCTTTAGCTGTATCATTAAATTACCATTCAGCCTTATGTACATCAGGGCTCAACCATTTTCCAAAAGTTTAAATTGTGATTTATTTTGAGCAATATTGTGTTTGTATTTTCCTCTGCACTAAGCATGAGTATGCACATGTTTCACTCCAGCGTTTTATTGTTTTCATGACCTTGAAACTTTGTTTTGAGTCCATTGTTGCAGGACTTTACTCTTAGTGCTACGTGGAGAATTGCTGACTTTTAGCTTGAATGCATGAATCTGCAGACTAGCTGCAGCTCTCCTTTCCCTTTAGTGTGGCGGTAAACCCACCTTAAAGCGTGTTGCAGCTACCTGAAAGGCTGGAGTGAGAAAGTCTGTGTATTACTCTTGTTAAATGCAAGGTGACCAAACCTGGGTCCCTTTGTGATTAGAAAATTAAATTTTGTACAATATCAATTATATGCAAATGCTAATTGATTGCTCAGCCCAAATCTACATAATAAGAAAACATAATTATTTTATTGTTTTTAAACTGATTTGACTTTAAAGTCTGTTTATCAATTTCTAATTCAATTATACCGTTTTCATATAAACCCTTAAGATTTGATGAGATTACCTTCACTTCTACCACAGTCATCTGAGCATTGCCCTCTCTGGTTTTATAAATAGTAACTGGACATATCTTGTCATACTGTTTACCTGTAGGTGTAAAGCTCGCTCGCTTGTCGCAGACAAGCAATCCCCTGTTACCTGAGGAGATTGCCGCCCCACCAACCAAGATATGATTAAACTAGTGGATTAGACCGTAGCGGCCACAGGATCAACCATGTGAGTGTCTAAAAGTTGTTATCTTAGGTGATTGGTAGAACATAAATGTTTGTATTTCACATTTATATTGAGATTTGAAAAATAAACAGATTTGCTCATATTTTTCATGACCTTTTAATCTTTTGCATTGAAATGTTGGGATAGAAAAGAAGTTAACCTCCTTTTTTGAGCATTAAAGCTGTAGCCTGTAACTTTTGATTGAGATTATTTGAGAGATTTCTAAATCACTGACTTGATGCAAAGAAAGCAATCTGTCATAGTTTTTATCTTGCTCATATTCCAACGTGACAAATCCAAGGCCTGAAGCTACAACCTCAACCAAAAGAATTACTTATTTGTTTGGAAGGAGCTGCCAATAGAGTATGCGCAGCAGTGTGAGAAAGAAATAATCTGCCCCAGTCAGCCAGGGAGGCTGTTAGAGAAATCAGACATGATCAGAGTTATTCTCTATTTCTGCCTCTTAAAGTCGTAGGGAAATCATATTTAAATTTCAAATCATTCTGGCTGAAACATGTATATAAATGTACTCTTTATCAGACTATATCGTCCCAAAATTTAGAACATTTCTATAAAAAAAAAAAAAATCCTTTCTTAAAATCTGTGTTTTTTTCCTGTTATTTTATGCAGGCCGGTTAGTTCTCTCAGCTTCTACAGCTAAATTGTACACCGACCACAATCAAACTTGCCTTCGAACCTTCCGCGACAACAACCCCAACGTCTTGATGATCGACCAATCAAATTCACTTTATTCACTGGTGTAAAGTCGTGCACGACTCGGGAGAATTCGGAAATGCCGTTTCCCCACAAATTTATTTTTTAAACGAAATTTAAAACCGCACACTAAAGATGCACACATCCATTTTTTTACAGTGTGATATGAAACCTGGGCTGAACGTATAGCAGATACCGATCCAACCGATCCAATTGAACTGTCGAATGAATAGAAATTTATTTCAGACGATTTGACAAACAACAAATTCAACGGGTTAAGTCAAAGAGTCGTGGGTGCGTTTAGAGTCACCACATGCACATCCAGCAGCAGGGAATCCTAAAACGTCAACAAGCTGATGCAATCAGCTGGGATTCCTCAAATCTTTTAACTAATCTTTTTACTAAGCTGTCTGGATGATTGGATTAAATTATATCCTGTAATGTGGCTTGAGATGATGTGTAGTGAATTGGCGCTGTGTAAATAAACTGATTTGAACTTGAGTCAAAGGACCTGAGTGGTCTAAGTGGGACATACAGGAAGCTATTAGAATGACTTAAGAACTGTAGAGATGTGAGACAGCTGATAACATAAAACTACTTATCTTGCAATCAGTAAAGCAATTAGCTCAAAATGTTGTCAAATGTTTAAGAAAGTGTATGGACTACAGAATTAATTTGTTGTAGATTTGGCAGAAGAAGAAATACAACTGGATAAATTTTTTGTCTGTTAAGTGCTGGCCTTTTTTGATACAGTCCCTTTTTTTGCATTTTATCGCAAGTTTATTAGCTACTACAAGGCTGCGTTTTACTTTGATAGGTCAGCATTGTAGATCATGTTCTGATCTCTTGAGGGTTTTTATTAACTGGTATCATTTTAAACCTCTACATGTGAAATTTGTATCTGAAATCCTACATTTTAAATAGGAAACACACATGTGACATCACTTCGACATACAGTTTATACAAGATACTTATATGCCTTTTCTTTACTGACGAACAGGTTGTGTTTAAGATGATTTTGAATAAATAAAAATAAAGTATTGGAGTTGGAACTGTTGGTACTTCACAGAGCGACACCTGAAACAGACTGCTGTTCAAAGTTCATCAGTAAAAAAGAAAGAAAATGTTTTCAATGGCATTGAGTAAAAAGACATTATTTTGGTAATGCTTAAAAGTTTTGTCTGATCTAATTTCAGACTGTAAAATAATACTTTGTTTTTTTTTATGTAATATATCTTATCTGGGGTCAAGAGTGAGTTGACCTTCATGGGTTATCTCTTCGTTTTGTTTGAGCGGTAGGTTAAAGGCTTTTCGATGAAGTATGCTTTTCATCTGGGCTTGAATCTGTGTTGACTGCAGTTCCCTTTTGCCCAAAATTGGTGATAAAGGATATTATCAGCAGTTGTTTTGGTAAAAAAAAAAAAATCCCATTTTATATGTTGTTCATGTGGAACATAATTGTTTTCTCACCTTGAACTGAATAAAGACAAACGTTTGCTGCAGATACCAGCTCTCGGTTGTCATGGCAAAGATGAAGTGATATGTGTTTTTCTGTTCTTCTTCCTATCATACACTGAGGCATTTAGGATCTAAGTAGCAAGCAGGCAACATATTATTTGAATAGATACTTGACTGATGGGTTTGTTAGTTTCTCAAAGATTATTTTAAGAAACAAAAATTTTTATTGACAGTGGATCTTGTGTTTTTTTTTTGTTTTTTTTGTTATCATTGTCCTTTTAGAGGGTCGAAGGAGGAGTGTAATGGCCTGAGGGGGTTCCCCCCACTACAACCTGCCCCTGCCAGGTCCAAACCACCTAATCTCCCTGCTCAGTCACTGCAACCCACTGCTGTGATGGGAGACGGACTGGAGGCAGGCAGCAGCCAGAACCCTCCCTCCGCCACAGCACCTCTCCCCTTCAACCCCCCTCCTCCAGAAACATGGAACCCTTCCAGACCCAAACGACAGACCAATCAGCTTCAGGTAGTTTCATTTTCTCTTTGTACAAGTCGCCTCTGTCCAATGGTGCGTCTTTGAACCAGATGTTTATTTTTGGATGTCTCTGCTCTTTTCAGTACCTGCTCAAAGTGGTGCTGAAGACATTGTGGAAACACCAGTTTGCATGGCCCTTTCAGGCACCTGTAGATGCAGTCAAACTGAATTTGCCTGTGAGTCATTTTTTATTTCAAGCTTACTTGTAATCACACCATATAAATCCTGTTGGCACTTAAGCTGCAGCCAAATAACTTTTACATGCAAACATCAGAGTCGTGTAAGTTGATGTTTTGTTGACAGAAAATAACCAAAGATTTAGAGACATTTCTTAAACCTGGGATTCTGTTCCTGGCTGTAGTTAATCAGCTGAAAACGGATTAGTTTGTTGGTCTGAATATAATCATTTTAGTCTGAGAAGAAAATGCAAATTTTTCTGTTTTGTTATTAATCATACTGAAATTAAATCAATCCTGAGCTCCTTTTTTGAAAGAGTAAGTTCACCACTTTAACCCAGTTGTTGCTCCCAACCAAGAAAAGCTTGCAAACTTCTGAGAATTTACTGAAACCCCCTAAGTTAAATCACGCAATATGCTAGCTTATCATAGTAAATGTTGAAACTCATTAATCTGCATGTAGAAAAAATCTAAATACGTGTAACTTGTTTGGGTTGGTTGGTAAGGGAAAGACTCTTCTAGAAGAAACAACATGGCAACATGGCACAAAGTGGACAAAGTTCCACCTGAATGAACCCTTAAACTTTTGGAACCATGTCTTTTAGGTCACAGTTTAGCCTTAATTCACATAATAATGTTTAGAGGAAACCCAAATAACACATCAGTGAAAAGTCCCTGGCCCATGGACCAAGGCACGTTACAGCTCTTAAGCTAACCAAGAGCAGCGTTCTCTCCTTAAGTGTTATGGAGCTTGGCTGATATTGGTTTTTGAAAGTAATAGAGCAAAGTTATTATGACGAGGGAACCTAACTTCCTCCATAGTGCATTACTTTATCAGAGAGTCATGCAGAAAAATTACTTCTCCAGGTAATAACTGATCAATCTGGTTCTACAAGCTTACGAATCATCTGGTGTTCCTAGCTCTTTATTCACAGCCTGACTATTCTGGATTTTTCGTTAAAAAAATCAAGCGTGTAATCTGCACGGTTTGCTATTTATTTAAAGGTTCACTCTTAAATTGTTTTTGGCTAGAGTGAAGATCAAATTATCTGCTTCCTGATACACAAACCCTTAAATTTGAAAGATAATGTTTTACCATGATTATATATAAAATCTCTTATTTTTATTTGAAGAAGTTTGTGTTATTTCTTCAAGGATGATATATATTTATTCTGCCTCACACACATGCTATAAACTTTTTTTTTGTTAACCAAGGACTACTACAAGATAATAAAGAATCCTATGGACATGGGCACAATAAGAAAACGCCTGGAGAACAACTACTACTGGAACGCCCAGGAGTGTATCCAAGACTTCAGCACAATGTTCACAAACTGCTACATCTACAACAAGGTTAGCAGAGGAAAGTTATCCTGTTCTTTTACAAGAGAACAGGGGGGTTTATGTATTAAGATCAGAGAGTAAAGAAAGGTTTTATGAAAATCATGCAAGGAAAAGCTCAGGGAAATAAGAGTATTTTGAATTCTGTTCATTCTAGAGTGTGTTTTAACTGTAAGCACATCTTCATGTTCTCATATTCTCAGCCTGGAGATGATATTGTCCTTATGGCTGAGGCTTTGGAAAAGCTTTTCCTGCAGAAGATCACAGAGATGCCGCAGGAAGAGGTAGAGATTGCTGTGGTCACTAAGGGACGACGTGTGGGGAGGCGGGAGCCCTGTAAGTATAGCCACCCATTTTTAAATTAAAGATAAACCGACACCGTTTTTTTGTTTTGTTTTTAAGACTGAAACCGATTATTTTAACCCCAGTTTAACCAATCCTGATATACGCTCCTGATATTTTATTTTTAAACCGTTTATGACCTAAAATAGAACAAAGATTTGCTAGGACATATTTCTACATGCTTTAGAGCCATTTTTGAAGCATTTCAATCTGTAAGAGGTCTTTCCAAATGTTAATAATTTATGGGAATTAAGTCTATTTTAACTGAAGAAAATCCAAAAAGGTGCAGCTCAGCAATAGAAAAAGGAAATTAAATTTTTTACACATATTTTTCTAAATACAGAAAATTCCCAGCTTTGTCCCTCAAAAATGTCCTTTAAAAAAGTTACACAAAGTCATTTCGAAACAGAACATTCATTTGGAGTGTGTATACCTTCATTTTTGACATACACATACTTTCTAAAACTGAGACAAACATGAAAAAATATGGACATTGTGAACCATTGGAGGAAAAAATGTATGTGTACCTCAAAATGAAGTGTTTACCTTATTGCAATCAAATCTTTAACACTCGATACATATGAACATACAGTATGTGTAAACTATCAAAAGTGAAATGAACAACAGAAAATATTGTTTTATTTTTACTATAACTATACTATATTACTATAACTAAACTATTGTTTTATTTTGAAACTTTAAACACAAAAAGTAGGATTCAAAAACACAGCATGAACACCTTAACCCTATTGGTTATAAATTATTTACAATACTGGAAACAAAAATGGAGTAAAGATCAGTTTTCGATCCGATCGGAGGTGCAGCGATGGACCATTTGACAGCTCTTGTCCACTATCGCACGCAGAGATTTTACACGCCTCACACATGAAGCTCGTGCATTTGTCTCACACCCTGCACTTCAAGCATCTCTGTGTGGATTTCTTGAAGACTGAGATTACCTCAGCCATGGCCATAGGGATGTGCTGATAGGCCTCTGGTGGTTGTAGACTGCTCCTGACAGCCTGGTGGGTCAGCAGCTGCCGATTCAGTCTGCCACAAGGCTCCTTGTGCAACAAGTAGCTGTTTATTACAGCAATGTCCACAAAGTGATGCTAGTCTGTCAGATACAACTTCTTGCTCTTTCTACATTAGAAAAAAGATCCAAACAACTGGTCAGAAACGTAAACTTTCCAGCCCAAGGCATTTATATTCCTCCACTGATGGTTTGAGTTGGTGACTCAGGGGGCAGTGGCTCTATGTCATGGGAAGGATCTAATCCCCCAATAAACTCTGCTTCTTCTCTGGTGTCTGTGGAATCCAACCTAGATCACAGTCCCCACTTTCATCCAGCGCCATAATCAGCTCCAAGTAAAAAACTGCGGGTGTCTTGGTGTCTGTTGATTATCTGGTCTGTTGATGCGTGTGTTTGAAGTGAAAGTGAAACTACTAAAATACTGGTTAATGTAAAAGACTAGAATAGACGAGGTAAAAAAGAACTGTTGCGGGAAAAACTACAACTCCTTGGGGAAAATACACATCACTTCTGGGTGTTTTCCCGGTCGGTGGGAGGTTAGAAAACCCTGAGGGGTCCATCCACCCATTACATCACGTATGTTTAGGGTTTCCGAGGGGCATTAAAAATCATTAAAAGTCATACTTTTTTTTTTTTAAATTAAGGCCTTTTAAATGTGATTATCAGCGGCATTTAAAATGCTTTATTTGTTTTCTAAAAATATACGCTCATATCATCAGATACATTATATCAGATATAACAAACACGCTGAACTGCTTCCGGTTGATCGTAAAGCCGTATGTTTTTACGTTGTTCGGAAAAGAAGCTTGAGGAGGAGAAAGAGCTACAGGAAATGGGGAAAATGCAAATTTCAACAAGTGGGTGGAAAACGAGGAATTTGGGACATGGCTGCAGCCTGTCGATGGTAAAGATGACGAAGAATTTTGCTGTGTTTGTAAAAAAAATTAAGCTTTGTACAATGGGTGTCAATGCTTTACGATCTCACATGAAGACTGACAGGCAGTGGTGTAGTCCAGGGTATACACGGGTACATGGCATATACCCACTTATTTTTCAGTCATCATTCCGTAAACGAACTCCTGGAGCCAAATTTGTGCCTTTTTTTGAGTGGGCAGTGAGACAAGTATTCAGCGTTTAAACATAACGCACGCTCAAAACCTGTTTGGTGCGCGCTTGACCTGATACTTACACGCTCAACAACAGCTGTAGGCCCGCTCTGCTCTGGCTGTGCGGTCGTGACTTCAAAAACTGTCCACCTCGCCAGCCAATCACAGACAGGTTTCTTTCCATCCAATTAGAATATGGCTTGCAAATACTGTATTCAGATGGAATAAATCAAAATGCTTCAGGTTTTGGCAGAAATGACTAAACATAATGGGATTAAAGAAAAAACAACCAATAACCAGTTTAATATTTTAGCCTAAAATATTTAGTCTAAAATAATGAATTGAGTTACTGAATGAGGTATGACAAATGTTTTTGTCTCTTTCCAGCTTCTGGGAGGTGATGCGAAAGTTTCTTGTTATCATAATTATCATCATTGTCATCATTATTTACATAGCATTTTAACATGAGGTAAAACAAAATAACATCTAATAAAATGACTTGGGTAAAGACTCAACAATTTAAAACAATAATAATAAATAGCTGTTTAAATCTTTAAAAACAACCAGAAGTTCTTTAAAGTGAACTCTAAGATAAACAGGCAACCAGTGAAGGGAGGCCAGGATGATGTAATGTCCTGTCTTTTATGTTTTTTATTAAAAGGTGTGCAGCATTTGAACCAGCTGGAGACATTTGAGTGAGGACTGACTGATTCAAAGATAAATATAATTACACTAATCCAGCCATGATGAAATAAAGGCTTGGAGTAGGGGTTCCATATTTTTTCCTTGAAAGAATAGGTTTTACCTTTGCTTTGTTCCTTCAATGATAAGAATGACTAAACTGAGGTCCTTTTTTGACTGTCAAGTTTTAAATCACCGTCCATTATAAAAACGACGTTCATAAATTGTGGCCAAACATTCATTGTCAGGGGCCTAAATAAACTGCATCAACACTTCTTTGGGTGTTTCAACTAGTATATCTGACAATTCATGATTTTCAAAGACAATGTTTGAGTTTTAATGGTCTCCTCATCACTACCTTTATCTCTTTCTATAGATTCTCTTTCTCATTCAATTCAGGACTTTGCATGTGCCTTTTCATCTAGGTCTATTTTGAAAAACTTACAAGTAAACCTAAAGTGTATATATGCTATATATATATCCTATATATATAGGAGAGTCATGGGTCCTTGTTGATGGCATTAAAATTAATTCTCAGAGCATTAAAAAGCATTAAATTAGGGTTACTCCCCCTGTATAAACCCTGATATTGCAAAGTAGGAAGTACACAGCGGTCTGGATTGGATTTAAAATCTAAAGCAAAATGAAAATGGTTTTAATTTTGCCATTGGTTTAACTTAACTATCTTATTTAGTTGCAATTATACATAAAAAAAAAACAGATGTGAGCGCAAATGTGAGTGCCATGCCCCCGTTGGTCATAAAGGGTTAACAATGCTTGATTAGAAAGCACAGGGAGAGTGGCAAAAATGTTGGTGTATATTTAGTTCAGATGCACATTTAATCATGAGAAAATGATTAGTTTGTTTAAAAAAGACTGCCTTGTTAACTTAGAATAAAAAACCTGTGTTGTTGTTTTAGTAAAAAGAGTGCCTTTCTTAGTAATGACAGATGAACAACAAGTCAGCAACAATTAGTTTCCAAGACTTAATTTATCGGCATGTAAATGGTTCTAATCCAACTGGCTGAACTTGTCAGGACACAGACAAGCTTGAGCTTGTCCCCAAAGGGTTATATTCTAATGCTTGGTTGAATCAGGTTTTGTTTTCTTAAAGCATTTTTGTTGTGTAGTTAACTGTTATATAACATTACTTTACACAGGTCTTCGTATGAATATGCTGTTTTTTATCTCATTGTGTGTACACATCTATCTATTCTTTGCTCCAGCTCTAATGACCATGTCGGATTCAGGCCAAGACTCATCTTCTCCTTCTACTACTCCACATACTAGAGGTTTTTCATCCCCTGCAACCACTCCACACACCCGTGGCACACCAACACAACCCGTAGCCCAGCTCCTACCCCAACCTTTAGTCCCGCCTTTACACCAACCCTTACCCCAGACTTTAGCCCAGCCCTTAGCTCTTCCTCAAGTCCAAACCCAACTCCCACGGGTACCTCCTACACCAACAAACCACGCTTCTCATCTTGCTGCCACGTTCCCCCTCTCAACCCCAGATGTCCTCGCCCAAGGTATGACATCTGTCCCTCCTCCAGCCTTGACGCACCCAGGCCTCCATCCTGCTCCAGTGCTGCCGAGCTCCCCGGCCCCTGTTAAGGTGAGGATACGTCCACACTTGCTCTGATTTCCTGTGGCCAAATATTCTGTTTCTGACAGAAAAATCAACCGATTTCAACAGCCAAGGAAAAGCCAGAAGAGGAAAGCTGATACCACCACACCTACAGCCAATGACCAGCTAAGCGAATCACCTCCAGTGTCGGATGTGACTCGGCCTCGTAGGGACAGCACTCGGCCATCAAAGCAGCCTAAAAGAGACTCCCTGCAGCCGGACTCCCAGCACTTTATAGGCGGAGGCTTGGAGACGGGAGGGACGGGGATATCGAAGCGCCAGGATCAGTTGCGTTTCTGCGCACGCCTTGTCAGAGAGATGTTGTCTAAGAAACATTTAGCTTATGCCTGGCCTTTTCACAAACCTGTTGATGCAAAAGCTCTCAACCTACACGACTACCATGACATCATCAAGCATCCAATGGATCTCAGCACCATCAAGGTGATTTTGTCTCTTCTTAAACTTTGGTCACTACAGCCAGACTGGGTTCTGTGTTTGGTTATTTGTACAGTTACTTTTTAGATAGGTTTAACCAGATTTCCAGATTTAAACCAGACATTTGCATGTTGGAAAGAAGCATTTAATCAGAGTTTATCATTAAGGTAGACTAAATGTTTTAGATCAATTAGGATATTAAAAATCACTTCTATTTTTTTATAAATTGAATGCAGTTCAGAAGATTATATTCTGTGCCTCTTAAAGGAAAAATCTGGTCAGCAAGGAATAACCAGTCATTTATACCTGAAACTAATACATTTGCTGTGATTTCATGGATTTAGTTTTAATCAATAAAAAAATAAAAAAAAATTTTGTCGCGATCACTAAGTCTGGGAACAATTTTGCCCAAATATAGTAACACCTATCTCCTGACATCTACCGGCAGTCAAGTCACGGTGCCATAAGCCTAGCGCCATTCTCCCTGCTTTAACTATTAGACACATCTGTAATCAACAACAATTATGTAAGATTTCCAGAGGACTGCAACATTGAAATTCTGAGCTATTGTTAAACTGACAGTGCCCACGTGCATGGCAGTTGGATGTTGGATTACGTCGGGGAAAATAATATTTAAAAATTGGTTATTTCACCTTTCTAATTCATGATCCTCCATGGACGGGTTCGTCGTTAGATTGCCAACTTGATGAGGGAGGATTTGCCATCGAACTTCTGGCCAGAGAAAAACACCTCATTAATCCGTTACTCTCTGCTTTGTATAGTGCACTGGTCCAATGCTACATCTGGACAAACACCAGATACAGCATTGGGACTTGCTCAGCAGCCGATACCGCACTGTGACCTCACACACCAGTAGAGGACAGTAGTGTTTTTTGAAAAACATGGATGTCTCCAGTAAAGCACATTCAAATGAAAGTGTATTCTTACCCGATAGAGGGCGAAGCCATCACCCCAAAACCAACATAGACAGATTCAAGTTTATTCATAGCCTGAGGAACAAAGTCCCTGATTTGTTTATACATTTACAGCTGTTCTTTGCACATAAATGTTATTTTTTATTTCTAAATTGAAAAATATAAGCTTTCTACTCGGAATTGCTTACAGACTAAAGAATCTCAAGAAACCAGACCAGAAATGACATATTGGGCAGAATTAAATTCCAAATATTCAGTGACCTTTAGCCTGATTAGTCGCAAAGTTGCCTAAGAAAAACAAAGGTTGCTGTCACAAAACCCTGATGTTAGTTTCAAGGGAAATCTGTGGTCAGCACTGAAAACATCTGTCCAAGATGTCTCTAGCAAACTGTTGGGAGAAACATGTGAAAGGATACCTAAAATATTAGTCAGGTCTTAAAGTTTAAGAAAAAATCTGCTTTAAATTGAGATGTTAAGTTCTGAATTCAAGAGAGATCGAAATCCTTTTCTGTCACGATTCTGTTTTTTTGCTCTAAAAAATGTTTTCCTTTTTCCAAATGGCCTAAAATACTAAAGGTTTATACTTTAATGTCAGTCTGACCAGAGTTTTCTATTTTAAACTACACATTTTCAACTGTTAAGCACATTTCAGTTGATCATGAATTTTGGGTTTCATAGATTAATTTAAAGGATATTAATAAAAAAAACCTTAGATGAAAGAATTTGATAATTGTAAACATTTTTCTTTTCAGAAAAAGCTAGATAACAGACAGTACAGAGACGCCCAAGAGGTTGCTGCAGACGTCCGGTTGATGTTCTCCAACTGCTACAAGTACAATCCACCAGACCATGATGTTGTATCCATGGCACGTAAACTGCAGGTAAAATCCCCCAGGTTTCAGTCAAGGCCAATCCACAAACATTTCAAATAACTTGTATATTCTACTTTTTTTTGCAGTTTTTAGAAAAATAATTTTGATAAAGCTATAAAACATACAATATTGATAATACATTGGTAGAATGATTTTTTAATGATGCAAATCATTATAATATTTTATATATTAAGGGGCAAAAATAAAACTCCCTTTAAATATTTAACTCTATAATAAATATGTCTTTCAAATATTAACTAAGCCTTATTTCATAGAGAATCTTTTCACAGAGTGGCCTAAAGCGCTGAGGAAGTATGTGGAACAATATTTTAAACCAGGACATTTTTGCTGCTACTTTTCATGCATATTTCACACTAAGGCTCAATCTAAACGCAGTAAATTGGAGCTTCCAGCTCCTGTGCCTTCACCTTTCATGGGGTCAACAGTAGGAGCACCATCATAGGCAGGAGGAGCTCTGCACTGCTGTCCTGAATCTAGACAGCCTTTGGCCTAAAGCACACCATTAAGTGACAGAATCACATGGAAGATGCTTGTCAAATCAGGACTGCAGGCTCTCAAAAAAGCACTCCAAAAAAAAGGATTTGTGGAAAATATTTGGAGCCATGGTCTTTGTTGGAACACCATTTTCTTTGGCACATTTTTCACACTAAATTAGCTGAAATGCATGGAAATGGCATCTCTATTGAAAGCCCTTTGATATTTTCAGTTCACTCCAGAAATACTCATTTACAATCAGTTCCAGGCAGCATGTAATTCTGGAATAATGTCAGCAGCATTGCACTGTTTTTACCATTAACATTTTATTTATTTTTTTTTATATGGTGAAAACATTTTTTTAACAATTTTTCTAAAGTCTTGATATGTTTTTAAAAATGTAAAAAAAAAAAAAAACAGTTTTGCACTGTTTTTACCATATAAACATTTTTTGCACAACCTACTGTCTACCTGAACAACTTATAAATGACTCCAGATTTCCCTCTTAGCATCAATTCCGTTCAACTTTTGACTGTCAATTCTTAAGGAAATACACCCGTTTTGGGTCACAGCTGTCTTTTACTTTACCTTTAATCCCAATGGATTGTAAAATGATGCCCAAGTTTGCAATAATAATCTACATTTCTTACATTTTGTTGAAGGGCTTAGTGCAGTGGAAGCTGTCTTTAGGTGCTTCATGCTTGTTGGACAACAATCAAATGAATTAACGCCACCTTGTGGGGACAGCGCATTACAACTAGATAGCTGCAGGAGAAAGCACATTTTATAACAATGTGTAAACTTTGGGCATCAGATTCAGTTTAGTCCTCATTTAGCAACTTAGATAACATCCAGAAATTTTATTTCTATTCATAATAAGCAAAATGGCTTAAATGTATTTAAAACAAATAGTCTTGAGAGAAAAAGCTTGGCTTAAAGCATCTTTTGGAGCACATGGCGAACATGGTGATGGCGGAATGTTTATTCCTATTAAGCACAGTGTTTCTGTTCCTGTCCTCCATTTTCAGGATGTGTTTGAGATGCGCTTTGCTAAAATGCCAGATGAATCAGAAGAGCTCACTCCAGTTCCCACACCGTCTTTGGCCCTCCATTTTGTACCATCTACTCGACAAGTCCCTCCTCCATCTGCTGCATCAGAAGACGACAGCTCAAGCTCCTCTGATTCCGAGTCCTCCAGAGGAGGCTCTGAACAGGAACGGCAACAGAGACTGGCTGAGCTACAGGAGCAGGTTAGATCAGAGGTGGCCATGATTTATGCTTTTTGTTTTTTCTTGGAAATACAAAGACAAAAAGATATATATTTTGCTTATCCCATTCACAATAAACTAAGAAAATGAAATGAAATGCATGAAATAAGAAAAAGTGGGTGAGGAGAAAAAGAATTGGTCGAGGAATTTTTTTCTGCTCTCCCTCACAAAGCTGAAATGTCAAGAATAAAAAATATAGTGTTGAGAATAAAGGGGAACTCTCAATGGAAAAAGTTTGAAACGATTTGAAGAATAAAGTCGATAATAACAGAAGTGGACATGAATAATGACAGACACACGCTTGACAGCGTACATCGTTTTTTTAATTTATATTTCAACTTAATTCTCAACATTTTAACTTGACGGACTTGGAAAAGGGGAAAAAAATTCCCTCCCCTGATATTTTTTCTCACTGTGGCCATAATACTACATTGTAAAATACAAATCAGTATGGGTTGAGGGGAAAAAACAACCCAGCATACAAGCTGATAAAAATCATTCTATTTTTACTATTTTTTTGTGGGTTTTTTTCTTTGTATTTTAGCAACAACACTAGGATTTGGATCACTCTGGTTTTATTTAGCTTTAGTTTTATAAATTGGTTTGTCTGAGTTTGCTTCTCAGTGAGACAGTGGGTGATTGTGCACCTAATTACTGTCAAAATCTACCTAAACCCAAAAGCCTGGTTGCTAAAAATTTATACTTTTTCCATTTGGTGATGTTTTTAAAAGGGCCTGGGATCAGGGAAAATGTGTCCTCTTACATGTGTTTATATCAGCAGCCTGAGCAGGCAAACCTAATTTACGCTACAATTGAAAAATTGACATTTGTTTATTTAAATGTTGTCAATTCACAGCAAATGTTGTTTAAAAGCACTTTTCAAAACTAGTCACCTGAATCAAATCTCACTGTTAGAATTCAAGGTGACTTATATTCCAGTTTGCTCCTAAATATCACTGTAGTCAACTTTAGTTTGTCTGAGTTAAAAAGTTTGGTAAAAGGTTTTCTATCTAAGGAATTGTGGTCGAGGGCTGCACAAAATCGTTCAGAGGGCTGCAGATGGCCCCCAAGCCGCACTTTGGACATCCCTGGGGTAGGTGAATGGAAATGGAACGGAAAGGCTGGCCTTATCAAACCCGACTTGATACTGAAACACGGAGCGGATGATTCAGTAATGTTTTATGGCATTAATAGTTGTTTTATTTATTCTTTTAACCTTGTAGCTCAAAGCTGTGCATGAACAGCTGGCAGCACTTTCCCAGCCGCAGACCAGCAAACCCAAGAAGAAAGAGAGAGACAAAAAAGAGAAGAAGAAGGAAAAGCATAAAAAGAAGTTGGAAGCAGATGAACCTGCAAAAACTCCTCCTCATGCAGTCCTTCAGCCTCCTAAGAAAAGCAAGAACAAAGATCCTGTCGTGATAAAGGAGAGGAAAAAGTCCAGGTATGGTTCCTGCAGACAAGAGCCTTCAGTCATAATGTTACAGCTTGAAATGAGACTGAATCAATTATTTGTTATCACAGTAAAAAAGATGACATCAAAAACAGCCGACCCGCTGTGCCCCCTCCTTCAGCCCCCGTCGCTCTTCTGCCTTCAGCTTCTCTGGAAGCAGAGGATGATGCAGGTATGTTTACTACAGAAGAGACATTCCTTATATTACCCTCTTTCCTGCACACAGGGAATCCTCACAGTTTGGAAAGATCTGGAATTTCATTATAGATTTTGTTGAAACTATGAAAAATTATGAGATCAAATAAAATTTCCCTTTTTAGACTCATCCATATCCCTTTCTCTAAAGGTTGTCTTTCCTTATTAAAGGTATGTCTTTCTGTCCTTATTATCTTTATTGGTGCTTTCTAAAGCCAGTTTGACCTAAAGATTTCTGGTGTAAAAGTATCAGACGTAAACTGTGTAATTTTTATATCTAAATTGTTTAAAACAACCTTTTTTTAACGTGTACTAACATGAAATGTTCATTAATCAACAGCCCACTGTAAACATCTGCAATGTTTTTTCTGTCCAGATGTTGCTGTTTGCAAGCCGATGTCTTATGAGGAGAAGCGCCAGCTGAGCCTGGATATAAACAAACTGCCTGGTGACAAACTAGGCCGAGTCGTGCACATAATCCAGACGCGTGAGCCATCGCTGAAAAACTCTAATCCAGATGAAATAGAGATTGACTTTGAGACCCTGAAGCCCTCCACACTGAGGGAGCTGGAAAAGTATGTTTCTACCTGCCTCAAAAAGAAGAAAAAACCATCAGGTAGGCTTTTTATGTGAAGTAAAGGTAAAGAAAACATAATAAGTTTGATCTCTGCAATTAACTGATTTATTTAGTCTCTACAGCAGTAATCAACAGACCTCAGTTTGAATGGAACAGTGATAGAGGGGATTTACTAAATGTTTATTCAGTTGATTACATTAAGAATCAAACCTCTTAAGTTTGAAATAAACATTATTTTGGCTTGAGAAGTCAAACCAGTGGTACACAGCTGTTCAACACAAAGTCTAGACTGAATCTTTATTGAACACAGAGAACCTAAGATGCGTCAGCAGTTCTTCTTCGACCTTTGTGAACCAAAACAATGCGTTCATTTCAGATGAATACCGCTCTGTTCCGTCTTGAATAGCTTGCAAAATATCAAAGGGTGTATATTAGGGGTGTGCAAAATAATCGTGATGATGATGCATCGTGATTCTAATTTTCGTGATCTACTGCATCGATTCTTGATGCCAAGAATCGATTATTAATTTAAAAAAATGAATAAATAAAATTGCATGAATGGTTGGCGAACATCAGCCAAAAACAAGTGCAATACCACTTCCAGTCCAGTAGATGTCGCTGCAAATGTGTTGACGCACGCTGCCTTGTGTCACAAGCATTTCCGGCCGTGGGATACTGTGCTGAGTCATTCAAAAACAAAACATGGAGGAGAAAATACTGCAATGCATCGCAATAATTGAAGTATCGTGATGCATCGTGATAGAATCGCATCGTGGCCTGTGAATCGTGATTCGAATCGAATCGTGACTTCTTTGGCAATACCCACCCCTAGTGTATATAAACAAAAATGTCTGCAAGAAATAAAGAGAATTCAAATTGTCTCATTAAGAAGCCATTGTAGAAAAGGTCCAACATCCAACCCACTCTAAACACAATATATTTAATTGGAACATAGGGATATAATTCAGTAGCATAAAATTTAAAATGTTAATATTGCATATCAAAGCAATACAAAAAAGGTTATTATGAGGTGTGTCCTTTAGGCTGACACTATTTGTCTACACTTCAGGTGAGAAAAGAAGTATTTCTGGAGGTGCTCTGTGTTTCTGGTGCTAAATCTCAATAATTCTTTTAGGGATGCACAATATTGGGATTTTGGCCGATATCCGATATCGATACCGATGTTAAAGCTGGACAAAAATAAGTAGTCATTGAAAATAGCAGTTTTGTTATCCATTTCTGACACTTTGAAAAATAATATACTCAAATATATTTTCATATGCTGATATCAAATTAATTTTTAAAAACGCGGTATCGATCTATTTTACTTTCAAAATCTCGTGAAATTTCATCATTCTGTTACAAACTCTCGTGATATTTTGCAAATTCTTGTGAGATTTTGTTAGTAAAATAGATCGATACCGCGTCAATATATCAACATATAAAAATATGGCAACATTTCGTGAATTTGCGGGGGATTTCGTAGCATAACGATGACATATAGCAATATTCATTAGTAAAAGAGATTGATATGGTGTTTTTAAATGGCAATATATCAGCATATGAAGATATTGGGATATTTTAATGTATCAATATTTTTTCCCTCGTCTTTAGAAGTTTTTAAGTCTGTAAAAAAGTAGTTTTTGAGGAAGAAGAAGTAGTATTTTTTTTTTTTTTTTCGACTTTAGAAACTCAGAAGCTGATCAAATATCGGGTTAATTATCGGTGGGGTGGCCGATGTCCGATATTCAGTTTTAAGGCCGATACAGGACGATACCGATAGGGGGCCGATTATATCGAGCAAACAAATGGATGTTTTTCAATCACTGGTCATTGTAATACAGTTTTAAATGAATCCACATCTGTTTCAGTGCAAATTAAGAGAGCAAATTAAAATAGACATTATTAAAAAAAAGTTGTCTTTAAGCTTGTGGAACATTATCGATGAATGAAAAATGAGAGGTAAAGTTTCACTCTTGTGCTTAGCCATACATTGATATTTGTAACTGTGTAAAAGGTCAAACATATTTCATCAAAAGGACCAAATCCTGTTTATACCACCTGTTTAAAATGTTCCCTGTAATCTAATAATGCTGAAAGTTTTTATTTTAAAAAAGCAGCAGTATTCGATCATTGGAGTCAAAATCTAAAGTACTCGATCTACAAAGATTTAAAAACTGTTTCATTGGTGTTTTGTTTTATTTTTATTAGCTTTCAATGAAACCCAATATGCGTATTTCTTTTGGGATTGATTTCTAAAAAAAAAAAAATTAAAAAAAATTATGGCTTTTGTTTTAGTAGAGAAGTCTCTGGAAATGGCCAAGATAAAGACGGGATCTTCATCTTCAGGCAGCAGTGACTCCTCAGACAGTGAAGACTCTGAAAATGGTAATGTCTTCTCCCTCTGTGTGTCTGCCTGGATTCATTCAGCTTTTCCACCTTCAGTTGTAAACCATCCTTTTCGGTTTTGCAGCATATTATCTGAAATCTAATTTCTCTGTCTATGAAGGGCTGGTTCCCAAGCAACAGAAAAAGACTTCTACCAACAAGGACTTCAAGAGAGGACACCACCAGGCTCCCAGCAGTGGGACAATCCCAGTTGCTCCCACAGCTCAAACGCAGCCTCAGCTGGTCCAATCAAAACCCCAGTTTGTAGCTGCGCCTTCTGTCCCGCCTCTGGATTCGTCTCAGCTCATGTCATCAGGATTTGATCCTCTGGCCCACTTCATGAACTCTCACCTGACTGATTCTAACACAGAGTCCAGCGCAGCGGTTACAGCTGCTGTAGCTACTCTGACCTCAGGCCTAATTAATGCCAACGCACCCACCAACCAGACACCAACTGAAACGCATCCTTTCCTAAACCAGCATCCAATCATACCTTCCCCAGGTTTGTAGTCTGAAGCAATATCATTGTCTCTGCTTTATATAATTGTGGACTAAAAAGCTGTTCATCAAAAGACATTCGCACACATGACCTTATTTCAATGTTAGCTGAAAGCTCCTCAAAATTATTTGATGAATGTTAGTGATATCACTAAGACTGAACTCTTAAGGTTAGAGGAAATTTTTTGCCTTTTACCTTTAGTATCTCTGCTTCTGTCTCCTTGAACCCCAATCGGCCCCAGCAGATTGCCGCTCACACTGAGCCTAGTTCTGCTGGAGCTTTCTTCCTGTTAAAAGGGAATTTTTACCTCCACTGTCGCTACAAACATGCTTAGTGTGAGGTTCAAGTGAATGAGTCGATGCAATCAGCTGGTTTTCCTTAGAAATAAACTTTGAATCAGTTTGACTGTATGATCTGGTTGGAATGTAAATACACATGCCTGCATATGACATGTGTTGTGAATAGGGATGGGGATCGTTAATATTTATTGATATCGATACCTTTATCGATACTCCTTATTGATCCGAGTCTTTATCGATACCACTATCAATACTTTTCTGTTATTTGGTGGAAAGACGATGCGACAATATGTTTTTAACAGACAGAAAGGAAGGCGGAAAAAAAATTATTTGAAATGTTTATAAGAAATGTCCTATATTTTGAAGAAATGTCTTCTTTTGGTTTAAAAAAATATATAAATTTTCACAATTGTTGGTTAATGTATTGTCTACTGTCACTTTTCATCATGTTTTTAGTGATTAGGAAAATATTTAGCAAATAAATAATTGTATTTTAAAGTAAATGTAATTTTTAATAAATGTTGGCATCAGTAGTTTAATTATATATAGAGCAATATATAACTGTATTACTCGTGTTTCTCGCCAAAATCTCAATTTCCCTTTTCTTTACGTTACACTTGAACGCATCATGATAACCTAATTGTCGTTTTACTGAGCCAATCTGAACACATCATCACGCAGCACGTCTGAAACTTTATTTACTTTTCAAGCTAACTAGCTTGTATGCTGCCGATTACAACACAGATTTCACAATTATTATTTTTAACTGACCGGACAAGCTACAAAGTCTGTGTGCGCGCTGACCAGTGGTACTCTGAGTGGATGATGAAAACAGGCCCGACAATGGTGCGGCAGCAGCAGCAGGAGGAGGAGTCTTTTCAACCCGGAGACAGTCGAAGGTACTGCATTTGGCCTTTATTTGATGCACAATATTAATGTGCTTGGCCATTGAGGTTGTGTTCCCCTCTTTACAAGAGATGATTTTGCAACATAAGTTGCATTTCGCTTCTTCTTTATCTTTGAGCTTGGTAAAATGAAGCCAAACTTTAGACCTTTTCGTCCGTTCATTCATCCTCGAGTCGCGAGCGAAGTTAACTGCCAGACTTCACTTGTTTTACTTTTAATATCTGTTTGCTTACAATTTAATTCCAAAACATTGGTGGACATGCTGCAGTTATTGGATTGATTAGATTTAAATGCTGTGACGCGACTCGAGGGACACACAATTAGGTTACAGGACCTCCGGGAGAAAAAAACAAAAAACGACCAGACTCGATAGTGGTATCGATAAGCCCAAACGTTATTGATTTTCGGGTTTTGAAAAAAGTGGAACCGGGTCCTTGATAGAACCGGGTTTCGATCCCCATCCCTAGTTGTGAATTGGCACTATATAAATGAACTGAAATTAATTGAACTTTTTATATTGAGTTAGTTGTTTGTGAAATCAGCCTTAAAAAAGCATAAATTCTAAACTTAAAATTCAATGTTTGCCCTTGATTTTTGTATATAAACTTCTTTCTCTGGTGTTAGTTGCTGTTTTTTGCCTCAAATGTTGTTTAGGAATGTAGATGTGATGTTATTTTTAGTTTTAAAGTATTTCAATATTTAATTTTTCCTTGTCTGCAGCGATCCACAATGCTCTTCCCCAGCAACCACCCAGACCCAGCAACCGTGCTGCACCTCTTCCGCCCAAACCTCAAACAGCCTCCTCCTCTCTCCCTTCCCTGGTTCCGTCTGCGGCCCCGCAAGTTCAACCCACTCTTCCCCTGAACCTCCCTCAGACTGTTCCCCGCCCACGTGTCCCATCCCCACCATCGCACGGCATTCTGGGTACCCTCTCAGCTTCACCTCCCCAAGCTTTGTTGGAGGATGACGAAGAGCCCACGGCAAACAGCTCTCAAACAACACAGCTCAGTCAGGTTCACAACCTCCTGCAGTCGCTTCAGGCGAGACCCACAGCGCCGCCGCCGCCGCTGCGCACACACTCACCTGGACAGGCTGCTCCTCAGCTCATGCCATCAATGCACACACAGGGCATGACACAAGCCCCTCCTACCCAGACACAGAGACACATCCCGACTCATGTGACGCAGCTGTTCCCAAATGCCCACATCTCGGCGCCTCAGCAGCAAAAGGGAGCAGCCCTGCAACAGAAGGTACAACAGTTACAACATCAGCAACAACCATCCCCACAAAACACAGCAGAGGCCTTCTCTAATAAAGGTAAGTGTCCTCTGGCCCTCTCAGATATACCTCCTCATCAGTCTTTTGATAGTTACTAACAGACTAAGGTCTAATCATAATACATAAATGCTAGTTAAAGGTAGTAGAGAAAACAGTCTGAGGCTTAGAGGTTAGTTTCACACAAATTGCTGAGAAAAATATTTGTCCACATAAATATTTCAAACCCATTTGGTTCTCTGAAAACAAACAACTGATGTCATTTAACCACCAGGCCTGCAGGATCAAAAGCTCAGATTTATAATAAGAATTAGATTTGTTGACTAAGATTGTGTATAGAAGTAAGGGATCTGATATAAGTTAAAGTGCGATATTTGTGTATGTGTACATACACCTAGTGTCATTTTTCTTTTTTATTGCAAATTTATGGTAGCATATTAGCAATCCACTCTGGCTAATAGGTTTCCATCAGTCTGACAGCCTGAGGGAAGAACCTTCTCTGTGGTCGCTGGTTTTTGCGAATGGCAAAACTGAAGTTGTGTCCAGGATGTATTGGGTTGGCATAAATTTAGCTGCTTCTTTCCTGGCCCTAGACCCGTAGAACTCTATAATGGAGGTGAGGTCAGGCCTGGATCCTCCTTGCAGAGCCAATTGTTGGTCGCAGTTTGGACCTGTCCTGTGACTACTTGGGATGTTGCAGAAAATGCAGTCTGTACTGGACCTTCTACTGAACACTGCCTGCATGTGAGGGCGAGCTCAGGTCCAAAGAAAAAGTAGGTTCTTGAACCTGGAAGTGGTCCACAGTGGATCCAGTGTGGTTAGAGGAGGGAGTGTCTGTATACTGAGATGTATCAGGATATAATTTATTCAATAACGGTCAGATGAAATTTAAACACATTTTTTGGTATTTCAATGTTTCTGTTGTCTGTGGTTACAGTGTTTCACTGACTGACGTTCATGAAAATCTGATCGCTTAAACGCAACCTGTCTGACCTGTCATGAGGTCATCTCATGTCTGACAAGAAGCATACCGTATTTTCACGACTATAAGGCGCACCTAAACGTCTTTTTTTCCCCTCAAAATGTGGGGTGCGCCCTATGGTGCGGTGCCCCCTATCTGCGGACGTTGTTGAGACCACCATGAGTATGTGAGAACGTTAAAGGGGGAAGTGTGGGCGTGGCTTGTGTATAAAAGAACAGGTATGTGCTTTATGCAGAACATTGTTGTCTTAACAACCCTGGAAATGGCAAAGAGACACGCCTATGAAGCCCAGTTTAAACTGCAGGCTATCAGCTACGCAGAGGAACATGGAAATCGAGCAGCTGCGAGAGAATTCAATATAAATGAATCGATGGTTCGCAAGTGGAGGAAGCTGGAAAACGAACTCCGACTGGTGAAGAAGACGCAGCTGAGTTTCCGCGGACATAAGGCGAGGTGGCCCGAGTTGGAGGAAAGACTCGAGCGGTTGATCGTGGAGCAAAGAACGAGTGGGGCCAGCGTTTCAACGGTCACTGTTCGACTAAAAGCAGTAAAGCTGGCGGAAGAAATGAAAATTGAAAATTTTCAAGGAGGTCCATCGTGGTGCTTCCGTTTTATGAAACGGTGCAATTTTTCCATCCGGACCAGGACTACAGTTGCTCAGCGACGTCCGGCGGATTATGATGAAAAGCTGGCGAGCTTCCACTCCTTCTGCAGCAAACACATCGCTGACAGTCATCCAGCCAAGCCACATCACCAACATGGACGAGGTGCCGCTCACTTTCGACATCCCGGTGAATCACACCGTGGAGAAGAAGGGGACCAGCACTGTAGCGATACACACAACGGGGTATGAAAAGGCGTCGTTTACTGTTGTGCTTGGCTGCCACGCAAATGGACAGAAACTGCCGCCTATGGTGATTTTTAAAAGAAAGACTTTGCCTAAAGAGACTTTTCCAGCTGGAGTCGTTATTAAGGCGAATGAAAAAGGCTGGATGGATGAGGAGATGATGAAAGCGTGGCTGAGGGAGGTGTATGTGAGGAGACCAGGTGGTTTTTTCCACGCATCACCATCTCTGTTAATTTGTGACTCCATGCGTGCCCATCTCACAGCCGATGTGAAAAAAAAGGTCAAAGAAATGAACGCTGTGCTTGCTGTTATTCCGGGAGGTCTGACAAAGGAACTTCAACCGCTCGACATCGGTGTGAAGCGGCCGTTCAAAGTAAGGCTGCGAGCGGCGTGGGAGCGATGGATGACAGACGGAGACCACAGTTTCAGGATAAGTGGAAGGCAGCGCCGGGCAAGTTACACCACCGTTTGCGGATGGATTGTTGATGCTTGTGTCGTCTATAATTCTCTTCTTGACGACTTAAAATTGAAGCTAAGTTTTATAAAAATTCAAAGTTCTTAAAAAGCAGAAAAAGTCTCAAACAAAGATCAAAAAATTTAGGCAGAGGCAGCTGAGTCCGGGTTCAGTGTGTTTATTGCTAAACACAACACATTCACACTGAGCTGGTCACCGGTGAGCCGAAGCTGAACAAATGGTGAACACAGCTCCCTTTTATACATTTCTTATCGGTGGAAAACCCCCTTCAGAACATATTTCAGTCTTTGGTAAAGGTCACATTGATATTTATCTGCAAAACACGGTGACATTCATAGACACATCTCATTCTTGTGAGAGCAATCTCTCAGGCCATGAAAACATCTGGTGCATTCAAATCAGAAACTTATGACGGTTTAGTCACAAACATGTCAGAACACATCTTTCCCTTGCTTCAAGCCATGTCAGTCTGGCCTACTGCTCCCCCCTCGTATCTTAGTCAAAGCATCACCCTTTCTGGGACCATTACCGCTCCGTGTGCCTTGAAAATAACAACTCTTTTTGTATGGCCAAATTTTGCTGAGCTGGGCAACCTTGAGATGTCAAATATTTCATTTTTATTGAGTGTGCTTTCTTATCACTAAGGGGCCTCAACCCTGCGTTGTCCTGCAGACTTCACTCCTATTGGGGCCAGGTGCAATAGTTACACATACTCACTGCTCTGCTTTTCTCCTTTCTGGCCTTGAATGGCTCCATTCATTGCTCTGTTTTTTTTCTTTTCCTTTTTGGCCTTGAATTGCTCTTATAACAGTATTTGGGAAAACAACTTTAAACTTATAAAACATTAACTTTATTTTATCTTATGATTAGTGCAGATTAATACTCAACATTCCCCCCTTTGATCCTAAAAGGATCAATTACGTGATTATGCAGGTGATAACTAATCTAAAACAGCTTAAATGTGAACTCACCCAAGTGACAAAAGTTTATATATATTGTGCACACTAAACCAAACGTGAGATTAAACACACACCATATAGTAGAAGTGAGTAATATAAGATGTGGTGGTGTCTGAGTAAATATTAAACTAATAAAATGCAGAAAACAGAATATACAAAAACAAAGAGGGATCCCCCTCTTGGCTCCCTTAAGAGGACCCGTCCTCGTTGCTTACTTTTTTTTAGCAAGATTTTCTAATTCTGTTTTCTCAGCAGAGGCAAATACCAATGCCCAAGCAGCATCTTGTGTTACGAGGTCACTGCATTTATCCCCTACATTGGTGGTATTTCACACCCATACATACACAAACACAAACAAAAAGCTTCATCAGGCCCGGACTATGCCAGGCAAAC